TCCCCTACCCATCCCACCTTCCCTACACCTTTAGCTCCTTTCTTCCCATTTCTAAATGTCAGTAATCTTATTAGAATCTTATGCATTGTTGTAGATTATTCACACCAGGGAAACTATTCGGTATTTACACATGTGTGACTTATTTATTTCACTTAGGAGTATATCTTCAATATGTATCCATTTTCCTATGAATGAATCTATTTTCTCATTCTTTATGGCTGAGTAATATTGCATTTTATAGAAAAATCACATCTTCTTTATCCAGTTTCCAACGGATGGGCAAATGGGCTGTTTCCAAGATTTAGCTACTACAAATTGTGCCACTATAAACATGGGTGCACATACTTCTCTGTGATATGATTCTTTTAGTTCTCTTGGAAAGATACCCAACCTTTTCTAATCATGGCCACATGTGATTTAAAATCTAAAAGGTGCCTCACATTCTTCAAGTTCTAGTTTTGGAACATCTTTAACATAAGTTCCTGAATTCACTTAATAATATTTTTGTTTTAAAATTTTCCCTTAAAAGAAAAATGAAACATGCTAAAACCTATAATGATTAATAGAACAAAGAAAAAAACATTAAAAATTAGTGATAGTGTAAGGAAAAGAACAAACTGTGTCAAAAAGATATCAGAGAGAAAATGTATATGAACATAGTGTGTCAAGACTGAAAACTACAAAGCATTATTCTAAAATATCAAGCCATACAAAGAACATTATAAGGTATTTCTTCACTTTGTTTTTTTGGGGGTACTGGGGATTGAACATGAGTCCTTGTGCTTCCAAGACAGGAAGTGTGCTTACAAGGCAGGCAGAGGTATTTCTTAAAATAGTACCATGGCTGTTCTTTAGAGCATCTCAAAATTGACTACTGTATTATATTTACATTCAAAATTCCTCATTCTTCTTTTTTCTTTTTATATAAATATGGTGTTTCTATATATTAGATATTTTCAAAGTTACAATTGAGATATCTATTAACCCAGTTCATTTTTAATATTACTTTAGTGTATATGGAAGGAAAGTACTACTTGAAGATCTAAAAATTAAGGACTGGGGAGTTGTTGATTAAGGGTAAAGTTTAAGGAAGAGGGTTCCTCAAACTTGAGAATACTATTTCTCAGATTTTTCAGTGTAGTTTGTTAAAGATATTAAAGATCACCAAGGCATTTTCTAACTGTAGATTACATAAAAGCTTTTATTGGAATGAATAGGAAAGGGACTTCTGCTTTGTATGAGACTAAAACAAATTATACCTATATTTGCTTTTACAAGTGTTATGGTTTAGATTCTGAATGTCTCCCAAAAGTCTAATGTGTTCATCGATGGGGCTTTTGGAAGGTGATTGCACCATAATGGATTATCAGTGTGTTTATCCATTGATGAGTTCCATAGCTGAATGTGCTGTTAAAAGGTGGGGTCTGGTTGAAAGTGAATCATTGGGGATGTGACCTAAAAGGATGTATTCTTGTCCCTGGCTCCTCCCTGGCTCCTCCCTTCTCTCTCTGCTTCCTGGCTGCCATGGATTGAGAGCACCTTTCCTCTGTAGTGTCCTGCTGCTATGCTGTTTCTGCTTTGGAGCCAATCAACCATGTAGTGAGTCCTCTAAAAACAATGAGCCAAAATAAACCTATCCTCCTTTAAGTGATAGGTGTCAGATATTTTATCCCAGCTATGTGAAAGTGATTAATATAGTAGTTAGGATCACAGAAGTGTGATCATTGCTGTGACTGTACCTGACTGGTTTAGAAACCTTTGGAACTGGTTTGCAGGAACAGTTTGGAAAGCTTTTGAGATGCCAGATAGAGAACCCTTACAAGGCTATACACAGCTTGATGGGTAATTCTGGTTGGAGTTTAGAAAACCAAAATGCTGATAGAAATGCAGATGATAAAGGGCACGCTCCCAAGGTTTCAGTTTGGAACAAGGATTTCATTGATAGTTGGACTAGAGACCATATATGTTATGCTCTAGCAGAAAATGTGTCCTTGTTTTGCCCATATCCTGAGACTGCCTTGACTGAGAATAAGAGTGGTGTGTTTGTTAATCTGGTGGGGAAAATTTCAAGACAACCCAATCATTAAGGCAGTAGTCTGAGTACTATTGACTACTTTTAGCCAGATTTATAGTGAGAATCAAAAGAAATAGCATAAATAATTGAAAAACTTCAATTTGGGGCTAAAAAGAATGATATATAAAGATGGGGCCAAAAGAGATGTGGCTGCTGAAAAGATTAGTACTGTTTATTAGAAAGGAACCTGTACTTTGCACAAGGACAAGAAGAAATATTCCTTAAGGGCATCTAAAGAATAGGGGAGGTTCCATCACAGGTTCCAGGGTGTAAAGGGATACATTCCTTTGAAAGACTGATTTAGAAGAGAGCCCAGGGTGCCCTGCTTATTCAGGACCACCCAGGGAAATGTTTCCCTGAGTTCAGCTTTATAGGTACTCAGAGGCTACTGATGCTGTGTACAAGAACACCACGTTACTGCTTGAGCTACCAGCAGACTTTGGTGTCATCTATATGATGCTGATTTTTCAGACATGCAGAATGTAGTAGTGGGGGTTTATACTTTGATTTCAAAGTAAAGCTTGGAAAACCAAGTAATGTGCCTGTTGGAGGGTGATACCTAAAGCTGTAAGATTAAAGCTGAAGGTGTGGTGGAAACTCTAGGAAGTTGGAGTTGCCAAGTGCATGGATCCTCTTTGCTGAGGAAAGCTGCAGGGCATGAGTACAGCCAATTCAAGAGAGTACAGCCACATAGGCTGCAACTAGCAAGGTTAAAAGGATGGGGATGCTTGTAACTTCTGTAACTCACATCTGTTGGCCATGTGCCTTGAATGCCAGATATGGAGCTATATAATTTAATGTTTACTTTGCTGAGTTTGGGTCTTGCTTTGGTTGGATTCCTTTTTATTTCCCTATTCTCTTTTGGAATGGAAGTATTTATCTTGTGCCATTGTATGTTGGAAGTATTTAACATCTTTTTAAAAAAATTAATTGATTAATTAATTTGGTACTGGGGATTGAACTCAAGTCCTTGCACTTGCAAGGCAGGCCACCGAACCGCTGAGCTAAATCCCCAGCCCTACATCTTTTTATTTTTATAGAGACTCAAGCTTTGCCTTGAATCTCATACAGACTTTGGAATTGAACTTTTTGGTACTGCTGGAACTGTTAAGACAGGCAACTCTTAGAGACAGACTAAATACATTTTATATAATGAGATGGACATGAGCTTTTTTGGAGCCAGGGGAAGAATGTATGGTTTGTATCTTGAATGCCCCCCACATGTTTAACGTGTTCAGAGGTGCAGATTTTGAAAGGTGATTGGATCATGGGGCACTGTAGTTGTCAGTGGATTCATCCATTTATGAGTTCATTAATGGAATGTGCTGTTAGGAGGTGAGCTGTGTTACTGGATGTGTGACCTTGAAGAGTGTCTTCTTGTCCCCTGTTCCTCCCTGCTTTCTCTGCTTCCTGGCTTCCATAGATCCAGCACCTTTCCTTTGCCATGCCATTCTGCCATGTATTTCTTCCTTGGAGCCAACTAACCATAGTCTGAATCCTGTAAGAACCATGAGCTGAAATAAACCTCTGCTCCTTTAAATTGAGGGTGTCAGGCATTTTGTACTAGAGTTAACAGAATGACTAATACAACAAGTGAGTTTACGAGAGCAGAAACGAAATTTTATAGACCATAATATTTGTTAGGTAAAAGAGCTGAAAAACCAGGACCAGACCAGGACTACAACAAGCCTTTATTATGGGGAAGATCTGCCAGACTGTCTCTCCTAACAAAGGAAAAGCAGCATGGAGGAACAGGGAGCTTCTTTTATAGTAGCAAGGTGGGGTTAACCTGAGCTGGTCTGGAGTTTAGTGAAGTGGCATTAAGGGATTGCAGGAGCCTGTAATACCACTAGGAGGGGCTTGTGACATCACTGGTTACTTGGAAATAGCAAGTATCAAGTTACTTTTTTGGTGGGAAAAGAGGAATGATGAGAGGAAGGCTTTCCCTTGGTAGGAGAAGCAACATTTAACATGGAGGCTGCTATTCCATGTGGCAGCCATTTTAAGGTGCAGAGCATTATGGGAAGGAGGCTACTGTTTTATGTAGCAGCCATCTTGAAGCAAGGGAACTCTAAAAATATTATTGATTATCCTATGGGATCAGTGATATATTCTGAAGAACTTTAATAACTTTCCATCCATCCCAGACTCCTCCCTCCCACTTTATGATAAATTGTGAAGACTTCATCACTCCTGGCTATTAGTTGTTCTGCCAGCATGCAGCATTTTATGGCAGTGTTGCATCATGTGAAATTACTAGAATATCATGCTAAGATTTTCTGTTATTTTCATGATTGATTTTCTTCAGTTCATCATTATGCATATCATTTAATAGATATTATACTATAGACTGAAATTAAAATTGAGTAAGAGCTATGGTTGCAGGGGGTGTATAAAGAAGACCAGAAGTGTGAATTTAATAGTATCAGCCTGAAAGTTTACAATTAGAGATATAAAAGTGCTTTTCCCTCCTGGTTCCTTTTAGATTTTACATTATTAAGTTATTTTCCTCATTGTATGAAATATAATGGAATTGTCACATAGTCTCAAGAGGCTTGTTGTCAAGAAACTGGTAACAACCTTGGAATTTTATGATTGGATTTACTCCATACCAGCCACTACTCACCTCCTAAATCACTGGGATGGTTGCTCTTATTTTCTCTATACAGTATCTAGTGGTATAATTAAAAGCAACATACTCACAGACCTCATTTAAATCTGTCTTCAAACTTAAAGAGGCAAAAAAGATATTGTACAGTAGTTAAGGTTTGCCCCAAAGACTATGAGACAAAAATTTGGGTATAGGTAGTTTATCTAGAAATGGACTATTGAAACCCCTAGGAAATGAAGGAGTGGGAACATAGAGGCAACAAAAGGAGAGAAACCATGACACACATCCTCATTTAACATCTGAGTTCTGTTCCTGCAACTGGGTCATGAAATGAATTGATAGCTATATGAGGAATGTAGCTGTAGTGTGGATATTATAATATTCAGAAATGGTCAAAGGAAAATCCAACTTGATGACTTTTATTTTATTTGCATAACTCTTACATGGAGCACTACAATATATAACAGAACATAAATTTACATAAACTACAGTTTACACTGCAGTGCAATTGGCAACAATTATAGTACTGTATAAACAAAGTGTACTGTACACCAAAAAAAGACATTGGGGTTCTATAAACAAAATGTACAGAACTGTTCCATAAAAGATGGGTTATAAATCCAAACAGTGAACCTCAGTCATAAGTCTGAACAGTTGTTAAGCAGGTAGGCTGTTACACGAGAAATATCTGTAAAGGATAATAGTGAGCTGCTTATTCCTGGGGCACCAGGATGAAACACCCCTCAGAATTGTCCCACCATGTGAAATCTTCAGGCAGAGAAGCAAGAGGCACAGGCCGTTGAGGTAGGAAGTAATCAGCATGCCTAAAATATTTACTATAGCAGCAATTGAACCACATAATGGTTCCAGAGGACATGGGACAGAGCATCAGCAGCATTTTCAACAAATGGTAATGTGCATTATGAATTGTCCCTCATAAGGGCAGCCTAGGACTGCATGATAGTGAGAATAAGATTATAAAGGTAAATCCAGTACAATGCACAAATAATACTTACCTGGCTTACAAAAAGACCATCATTGGACTAGTAATGGTTTTAGTCTGGTCTACACAAAAGATGATTTTTATCAATAAACAAAGGACCAAAAGTTGAGAATCAGTTACTCTATATGCAATTATCAAATGGAAATTTAACATGGTAAATATGCAGGCAGTAGTTAAAACTGCCCATTCTATTTGGGCACTGCAAGCATTACTGGATTTATAAATTTTTACCATGAAATGAGTAACTGTAATCATTTCTAGAAAATTTTCAAATTTAATTGAATTTATGACCAATTTCTTTTAGGATATTCAAAATAACAACAATTCATGAAGAAGTAGTGTATGAAGGAATTCTTTTTATTCTGATCAGCATAGCATTTCCTTCAGGTCCTACATCTTTCTCAAAATGTTGGTGCATTTTTGACATGAAAAACAAATTCGATTTATTTTATTTTAAAATTTTTTATATGTTTGCAAAAGGTAATACTTTCATTTGGGGGAACTGGTATATATATATATATATATATATATATATATATATATATACATACATATACATAGATACGTACATATAATTTTGATCATTTTAAAGCCCCTTCATCTCATACTCTCCTCTTCATCCCTTTCCCATCTCCAAAATCTGCCTTTATTTTACTCTTTAATTTGTGTTTCTGAAATAAGAGAAACAGTGGAAAATTTAACTTTATATGTCTGACTTATTTAATATTATAGTCTGAAGATCCATCTACTTTCCTGTAAATGACATGAATTCATTCTTCTTTATGGCTGAATAAAATTCCATTGTGTATATTTACAACATTTTCTTTATCAATTTGTCCATTGATGTGCATCTTTTTTCAGAGCTTAGCTATTTTGAATTGTGCTGCTATAAACATGGATATGCATGTATC